TCAGTTCGGTGAAACGGATTTGCCGTAGCCAATGTTCCGAAATTCTCAAAAGACTTGATTTCAATCCCAAGTGGTAATACGTTCCAGAATCGAGGATCTTAGGCCCACACGTCGTTGCATCGACGTAGGACACTTCGGACGGACGTCGGAAGTTCTGAATACCGCGCACGAAAAATGTCCAATATTTGGTCAGCCTTCTTTATGCTTATGTAACCACCTTTCATCATTTCAATGACCATTCTCTCTAACTGTTCTTTCACCGAAAGATGAACGGCTGGAGACATTTCTGACATCACACAACCTATAAATTTCTAATAATAAAAGAGATACTACCGCTGCTTGTGTTATCTGTACGTAACTGCATGGAGCAGCAGCTGTGTCTGTGATAATATTAGCCCAATGCTCTGTAGTTGCGGTAGTAAGCGATTCTGTGACGACAACTGGATTGTCTATCTCTTCGTCAAAGCTCGGTAACTGACAATTCTTTATCAACTGTGCTTTTAACTTCCTCAAACTTCTGTAATAGGTTGCTCGGGAAAAGCCAAACAACCTCAAGTATTTCGCGCCTTCTCGCAATCTTATCGACCTGTCTATTATTATTCTGAAAGAAATAATTGACTTAAGTAAGATTGAACATAGACAGAAACCAAATTTTTCGACCTGCACTACTAATAACTCACCTGCATAGCTTTCGAATTTCGAAGAAGTGGTTTACAACCGACAACTCTTTATCTCCTGTCTGTTTGTTGATGTATTAAAACAAGACCTGAAATTCGAGACTATCCCTCACCAAAAGTCTGTATTGCACTAAAATGTAAATTTATTTATTCAGATTTACTACTTTGAGGCTTATTTATATTATGTAGATGAAATGTTGGTGTGCAAAAATGCGCTACGAACATTTTGGGGATTTTACACAAACATTGGGGATTTCCCCAAAGCTGGCAGCTTGGGAAAGAAGCACAGAACGAAGAAAGCCGATAGCCATTGCTTACAAAGATGGCGGATAAAATAATTCCCGCCCCATTCTGATTGGTTGCTAAGCTGAAGGGCACATTTACGAAATTGAGCTGCGTTTAATTGCAGCCGAAAAAACTTGATACTCATGCAAGCCAACCAACCCACGGTAATTGAAATACGGAATGACCGCCTCTAGTCAGGTTGTTCAAGGTCGTTGAAAGGAAAGGGCAGGCACATTCGGAAGGATCTAACGTTTAAACCGTGCTCAGGTGTTTGCTAAGTTAAACAGATGGTCACGGTTGAAATTTCGACATGCTTATAGGAGATGAGATAAAACTCAACTAATCATGCCTAACTGCGAAACCAGAACTAGTGAAGGAAAAATTGTACAGGGATCTGTCTACCCCACAATTAGAGCAAGTTGATCCACTGGTAAAACAATACTGACAAGATGTCGCGTACAACTGCTGGTTAGACCAAACAAGATAATGGTTCAATACATCATATCCCTTGACAGAAATCTTCCAGTTTTAAAAATTTTGAAGTTACTCCTACGTCCATCCAACTCACGCAATTTTATCCAATGAGACTAATAATTATGTATACACTTAAGCATGTTAGTTTGCCTCTTGTAACTTGCCTAAGAAATGTCCTAATATCCGATATCTTCGTAACCAAATTGTGTAAACTGGTTTCTTTGTGTTCAACTTAGTTGCATTAGTATGGCCTCTGTTGACGTTTGGTGTAGGGTAGTTCAACCACTGAACTGAACTACTTCTAGTCAGTTCGTGCATTTTGAAATCATAGTATGCATATCTGAGGGTAGTAGTGTTTCCCACTCAAGCTATATGGATGGACAAATACGAAAATAATCTTCCTCTGATTTCATGACGGCTGATTTAAGACAAACGTCTAACTACTTTTTCAGGTCTTATCTTATTCTAGACTTCATTAGAGAAGAATATATCGTGCTCACCAGCTTAGGATATCTCAGACCTCGCACTCATAGGATGACTTGTCTTCAGAGTAACGTTGTGTAAGTTCACTAGCTACATGATTCCAGTAAAACATAGCAGACTGATTCCAGTATTTAAACAAGATGAATAGGCCGACTAATTCGATTTCAGTCTTATATTATAAGTTTTACCAACCCCAACGTTTATAATAATATCAATTTATTCCTATATAACAATATATCACGAGAGGCATCCCACTTTACAAGCACGACCAAAATACTACAAACGTTACGGGGTTTACGATAATTAGTTACTCAGTTAGGCTGTGTCGAATTCCCACTAATCTTTTTAAATTCTACAAGCAGTTGGAGATGAAAGTACTGAAAACTAAGAAGCACCATTGGTATTATTGAGGTAGTTTGTGCCACTAGGGAAACACATTTAACATAATATTGTTGAATGGTCATGATATAGCTGTCTAATCCATATGAACTTGCGTCATTCACATCATTTTCATTGCTGACTGACCTTATCGTGGCAGTTAGGGATATCACTTTCGAATAACGAATGCAACCTTAGTAACTGAATGTAATATTTGGTATAAAGAAGTACACACAGTGACCAGACATGCATGGATAAGCGACACAGTCACTCCGAAGTCAGCCTTCTTTGACCTTTCCCTTCTCACCCGCTATTTCTAGGCAAAAACAAGGTGCACTGAGAATGAGTGACCCCTTGGTCAGGACTTAGTGTGATTTCACTGTCAGCACAACTACATGGTTACCGCGCTTGACCACACAATGTTTAAAGTCAAGCAGACAATTATAAGCCAACAGGCATTTCGATTTAGAGCATTCTGTATTTTGCATCTGTCGCTGGTTCCTCTGGTAACTTCTGTTTACTGAGACCTTGATTCCAAAGTCTCTCTATACGATCATAAACAAGTCTATTTCGTATGATAGTGTACTGACTGATAAGAGTGATTAGTACTGTCTACAATCTGCCGCGGTTAGTGTGCAACACACACCCTAGAGAATCAAATATTTCAGATTTTCTCCTAAGTTATTCATATAAAGTGGGAATGAGTCAAATGATCCGGCTCAAAGTGAATACCAAATCTACAATTGTTGCAGAGTTGGATAAACCATTTGATGGAAAAAGCCTAACCTGGCAAATCTTAGTAATGAATAGGCAAGAGCAATGCACCATAACTAGTACACGATATCAGTTACTAGGATGTTTATACTTAACCAGATCGACTACCTAAAGGTGCTTCAAAGAGGGAAACGCCCTTAGTTAGGGATATCACAGGTATTCGGAGACTGACAATGTCTTTACACGTAACATCTTTATAATCGGAGTATACCAACCCAACCAAATCAGAAATATCGGGAGGCGTATAGTCTAAGCTGGCTAACAGTTGCAGAAGACGTGTAAACGAGCACCTCCATGTAGTTGCGTTTATCAAAACTAATGAGGTCATTATCAAGTGTTGAAGACTTACAGAACAATTTACTGCGGAAATTTATTTACCGCTACACAACTAACATGAAGAAGGCGAAATTTCAGCACAAAACCATTGGGTGTCAACCTTCCAGGGCCTCGAGTACATATGGTGGGTGGTTCCCCATGTTGTAGTAGTACCATTTTGTATACCCTTAAACAAACCGTAGGTCAGGAAAGCCACAGTGATCGCTACTGGAGAATTTTGTCGGTTAAGTACCTACCCCCACTGAAATACATAAGTTGTACAATCCCTCTTAATATTCATGAGTCAGTAATAGCGATCCAGGCAGTGCTCATTATTCAGGATGTTTAAATTAGACGTTAAAATAACTTCTTAAGCCTTCGCACGCATGAAAAGATGTGTAGGGAAGGTAACATTATGACACCAAGTCTTATATGTCAATAAAAACCAACTTCGTATGTGAAAACGGTTTGATTGTTGAATGAATTTGCAATATGTAATTCTAAATTATGATTTTGTCTCCTAACATATGTACATCAGACTTGCTCAAACGTAAAAGTCCATTGGTCTTCATATCATTTAAATAATTGTGAAACAGTACCATTACTAACTCTGGTCCTCCCTAGATGGGAAGTCTTTTTAATAGGCTTCATTTTCATGTTCTTTATTACTCACAATATGAGACCTTGCCTTTAAACGCTATTTCTGATTTAATAGTATTCGGAACTCAATATTCCAATCAGTTTTCAAAAGTAAGTTACATGTATGTACTTAACATCGTTTTAGCTTTCGGACCTAACATTAACGTACAGAAGGTCATGTGTGGGGTTGTTCATCGGATGATTATTGAGTACTCATCAGTAGTCTTTGAACCAACTCAAGCAACTTCGCTAACCCTGGAGTAGCTTCAAATAAGCAGAAAAACATCAGGAACATATCGAACTGATGACGTTAGTTCCGAATGGACAACTAACAACGATAGAAAGTACACCTAATCGATGCAACATACTGGTGGCAATTGAATGGAACTCAGAGGTCACATAGTTTGATAAACAATCACCTATATTAACTGAAAAAAGCAACACATCTAACAGTCAAATACCAGTAACTATCCAGAAAATAACTATAGGACACTTCCGCAAGAACACCAACTATTACAAACACTTGCATACGAGCGAAATCGTTTTAAGTTATGAACAGACTGTTACTTAATGAGTGTTGAAAATCACAAAGTCAACGACTCAGTTGTATTATGCTGCTAAGTCGACGGTCCCAAATCGTCTGAATGGATGATAATGACCCTACACTAGCGAAAACAAAACGTTCAGGCTAAAAAGCCATAATACTTCTTCACAACATGGACAACTAGAAATGCAAGTATTTAAACAGTACAAAACGACGTTCCAAGAATATTTCTCCCAGGGAAATCTTAAGTTATTGCTTAGAGTAAATTCGACACACTGAAACTGAAAATAAGAAAACTTAGTTTTCGGGAGGTAAACGATGAGAACCATATGTTACAAAATACTCTACAGTCCTTGGATAAAAAGTGTACATAACAAATTGAAGTACACACAAGTTGACTTCCTCATAAAGAAGGTATCAAAATGAGATTGCTATGCGTACAATGAACGAAGCTGTTGGAACACGCCTTGAACTTCAGGATGAGCTCCACAGATAAATTCATCAAGGTTATCCAGATAAGGTATTAATTGATCGCAATGCTGTGAAAATAAGTTGGGAACATAACTTTTATCAGGTTTTAAAAAACAGCTATAAAGTGTAAAATGTACACGTAATTTGATAAGCTAATTAATACACTGTACACTTATTTTATCCGTAACTGGATTGAAAAGGCGTTTCCAATGCTAATTTTGGTGCCACGATTTTTGTAAAACCAGAAAGTGATTTGAAAAGATCCGTCTCTGAGACCTCAAGTGGAGAGAGTAATGAAGTTATGGAACTATAAAAAGTGTTAGATGTAAACATTTACTGAATACATGTACACTAATTTCAATATGCCATATACATAAATCGTCACTGATCTACGAACAATGGACAAACATGAACTACTACATAGTAATTAAAGTTTCTACAATCGTAGAACAGTTGTGAGACGTTGCATCAAAATATTGTGGTTTTATTTTACGCATACATGATTAGGTTATTCATATAATTCAGCGGAAACTCATATATGAATAAAACTACTATCTGACATCTTACATTTCGACAAACACTTGCAAATCACGACCAGAATAATATTCGATTTTATGAGCAGGAATAAAATAATGGCAACGTAAAATAAGACTTACCTCAAGAACCACTTGCACTAAACGACCTTTTAACCAGAACATTATATTTCGTAAAGCTTCGTCAGACAAACTTTTCGGTTGAGTTGGTTCATGTAAGAAAAATGGAGAATCCGTATTGAATGAATGGTTCTGAGTAGATCCAGACATTTCAGATGCAAGTTCAGCAGTAAGTCTAGCATGACGATGCAGAAGAAGTGTAATGACAGCACATTGACTACGAACTGCTTCACACCTGGCTTCTTCTAGTCTGGCTACTCGACCACCAACATTATCCTTTCCTCCACCATAAGCCTCATCGTCAGACGAAGAAACCAGTTCACAGCCTGCCATAAGTTTTCGTCGGTCACTGACTTTAATTCTCCCAGAAATGGAATCTTTCGGTTTCTTGAAGAATGAATTACTGTCGACTCCAGTCCGTGGAAAGCTATCACCATCTCCTCCCTGGTCAGCGTCTTCACGATCAGGAGTCGAATAAGGAGACTTAACAAGATCGAAAAACAAAATAATACATTTATTTTTAACTTGAAGAAACTAGTACATGTTTGGCACGGAAACAAAATTATAAATGAAGACCTACATACTTAGATAAAAGCTTCAAGATCATGACAACCGCTTATCTCTCAAGATGGCAAAGTTCACTAAACTTGCCTAAGAATCTAAAGAGGAAACAATATTTTGAATTAATATGATTTAAAAGGAAAGAAATGAAAACAGTACTTAGAATTAACTACTTTTGCGAAAATAAAGGTCAAGAATGCTGATACTGGGTTCGGATGGTGTTACAGTATGTACGTTCTATGTGCCATCTTGAACGACGCTTAGCTCTGTGCTCTAGTTTCTAATTAAAAGGTGAATATCAAACGCAGGATTACGAACATTGTGCTAGGTGCAGAATATTGATGATGACTTGGCTTTTACGGAAACTAACCATTCCGTCAACAGTGTCATGTTTTTGAGACTGATTTGATGGAACAGTGCTTGATGTCTAATACTTATTCGAAGATCTGATCCACCGTCTTTGAAAAACATTCAAAAAGACAACAAAACTGGTTATTTTACTTTGTATCAAGGGATTGATAGCAATTTTGATATTGAATGATATTAATGAGTCGCTCCATTTGTGGATTTTCAGTGATGAATAACTGGGTTTATCGTTTTGGAGCAAAATTATAACGTAACATGCAAGAAACATGGGTAGTCAAAAAAATAATATGAAAATAAGGTGATTAATACTGACAGACAAAAATACACATGATGGTAAAAGTGCCCAATGACAAAAGTGGACAGACAAAAACAATGAAATACCCAGAATGTATGGTTTACGTTGTGGCGTGAACAGAGTGGAGCTACGAGATACTATCAGCGGTACAACTGTTCTAGAAAACATTGCATACGCATAGGTCCAAGTTATCGACCAGCAATGTTAACAAAGTAAGAAACACGAAACAATTAACATGAGCAACAACTTACAGAACGCCTGTTAATTTCCATCGTTTCTTTTGCCAGTTCTAGTCTACTTGTAATTCGAGTAACTCGCCTACCAACACGAACAAGAGTTCGACTTAAGCACTCCCAAACGTAAAAGCTAAATAGTAATAATATTAATAAGTGAGTTACTCGTTCGGATTAGAAATAAGTAACAAAAATATTATATTATAAAGCTTTGCATAGAAGAGACTGTACGATTGTTATCTTTTCGATTATGTAGCAAAGAATTCCATACATCTTCTCACTCTCGAAAAATATCTTTCTGCTAATCCACACATATCTTTGTGTCTGGTGGTGTTCCACTGAAACAGCTTTAGTTAAAGCAAAGTAATGTTTTACAAGAAAAGTGACCACTGACTACAAAAATGTGCTGTAATGTGACTGACTAGAATGAATAAACGACAACTTACTAATGGTTGATTACTTTATAACGAAGCAGTGAATTATCAGACTATTATTTTACTAAGAATTAGTTATGCAGAAGATAAAACTTCAGAAAGAGTCAAGCGTTTAGAAAAAAGCATACTCTTCAGTAACAATACTGGGTGGCTCAACAAATAAAATAATTTTTATCCCCAGATATTTTTTACGCTGTAGACATATAGTGTTTGGTAAGTAATTCAGATGAAATGTCAAGTATAAAAAGCAGATGAAAACCATCATAAAGTCATCTTTTAACCATAATCGGTTAGCTATAAGCACTGTAGAATGTCTGACTCTAAAAACTCACTCCATCGATGTATACTACGTCTCCGAAGAGCACACACAGGATCCACGTGCGGCCACTTATTTGACCTCATCTTGTCAACATAAAGAACCGGCACAATTTACCCTTTGAGTATCTGGAGACTTCACTGCTAATTCCCGTGACCTCGCTAGTGTAGGTATAGCATCAAGTTCCAAAGCAAAGCAGGCCCTGTCACATTGCATTTTAGAAAACAGATGCCTGTGCGCTGTTTGACTAAACGGGATAGTGAAATCTCGGAAAGATAGGGACACATACAGTTGACTCTTCGTTTTTTTGCCTACACACTCATTGATTGCAGCTCGAACGAAATTAAATGAGTTTTATAGGAAGCTATCCAACCTCTTTCAAAAAACCAAACACTGATGTAGTAATAGTGACAGGTGATTCTAATGCTCAAGTAAACTAAACCAAAATGAAAGGTACATGGATGGATCTTACGGTGTTGCGGCTCAACGAACTGACAATGACGACCATGTATTGCAATTACACTCAGATAACCGTCTATTTCTGGCAAACATCAACTTTAAAAAGGAGAAACATTGTTTGACGAGGCAACCTCTACAATCGACTCGTCTATGGACACAAATAGGCCACAGTGCCATTAGCTATAGTTAGAGGCGCTCGATGGAATGCTGTCGTTCAGACTCAGATCACGGTTCAGTTTGAGCACATATTTGTCTGCGTCTTACTGGACGTAGAAAAACCGCGGAAAGAAAATTCCTTAGAGTTTAACTTAACGATGAAAACGTTAGGAATATATTTCGAGAACAACTCGAGTTAGTCAACTGTGAAAATGATATCCGCTCAGAAAAAGCTTGGTATAATATCCAAAAAGCTGTGAAAACAGCAGTGATATCTACTAGTAACTTAAACCGAAAAGTTAGGGGGAATCAGTTGGTTTCATTGTTGTCTACAGAACTGATAGATGGTTGAAAACTCATCCTGTTTGGGTTGGAACACAATGATGAGCAGAGGCAGCTTAGACGTAGGCTGATCAAAAGTCTATGTAATGATCGTGAGCAGTGGTGGATAGGCAAAGCAAATCAGACGGGAAAGGCAGCAGCAATAAGTAATAGTAGACAGCTGTCCAGATTTATCACGAAAAATGAGACTGTTATCCATTTTCAATCCACTAGATTGAACTTGTGAGCAGAATACTTTAGGAAATAGTTCAACTGACCTTCAGTTACCACCTCTAAGTAACCTTAGTAGTAAATTGATCTACGTCCCACAGGTCTTAGTGAGATTGAGAAGGCTATGGGCAATCTAAAGCGAGGGAGGCCAGGAATGCCTAGTGGATTAACCCCTTAGATTTTCAAGGTGGTCCAGTTCTAGTATTTAGATTAACTGAAATCTTAGCTAAGGTCTGGGAACTGAACGCAATTCCACCTGACTGGTCTCGATCACTGATCGTCCCAATCTATAAGATAGGACAAAAAATCATGTGACAGTAACGGAGGAATTAGTTTAACTAATAAAGGGTCTAAAATATAAGCCTCAATAATACTTCGACATCTGGACGTGGATGTTTAAACTAAATATTCACCCTTCGGGAGGTTCTGGAAAATAAACATAATTTTCGACGTCCGACAATAATTGTATTCTTTGACCTTAAGGAACATTTGACTCTGTTGATCGTGAGGTCCTTTACTAGTGTTTGTTACTGAAAGTTAACCAAACGATTACACTAATTTTGTGCAGGCTCTCTTCTCGGGTCAAAACTTATGACAAACTGTCATCAGAGTTGATAATTTCAAATGTTCATCACGAATGTCTGCTTTCTCTATTGTTATTTAACTTTGGAATAAACCTACTTTTAAAGATAACACTTTCATCGTCTAAGTTTTCGGGGATCGATCTTCTATGCGAAGAATCACTTCTTGACTTACAATACGTAGACGATATAGTTCTGTTTAGAAATGATGACAAAAGTCAGCCTTCTGACCACATCAAGCAACAATGAAAGCGTGTTTGGGATGAGCTTCTCTTCCTCCAAATGTAAAATGTAACATCAGGATTACCTTCCGTCATCTCCAGGATTAGTGACAACGAGTGAATTAGTTGAACGCATAGACCGTTTCACATTTCTTGAGTGTCATCAGTCCTGATAGGCTGGCGTCCGATGAAATCTCGATCGCCTTTCGTGGAGTAGGCGAGATATCCATCTACCAACCAAAGGACAAATTTACTACGCAGCAGTTCACTCCGTTCATTTTTATGGATGAAAAACAACCATGTACAGTGGAGGACATTTGTAGATTACTGTTATTCAATCATAGGTGTTCTCGAAGCATTGCTAGTGAATTTCGGGACAACGGAGTAAGGAATACCTGTGTTGGGAATAGGGTACTAGGTAAAAATAGGAACTCAGTTGATGAGGTACTAAATCTTCGTCAACTGAGGTGGTCGGAATATGTGCTACATATGTCCAACAATTGCCTACCTTGATGGACAATGTTGTGTGGTGCAGGATTGAACTAGAAAAAAGCTAGGGACAGTTGAACCAAAACTTGGCAACAGTTTATGAAGTCACTAACAATCAGACTGATCGACGTTAATAGATGTAGACTACTTGGTTGCGGTCCGTGTGATTTCGTAACTAATGGTTAGAGACTTGAAATGACATGGCTCAAAATCGTTTGCAATGACACAAGTGCATCCATTCTTTGTCTTCCTTCAAATCCTGAGATTCTAAATCCCTCACAGCTTTTTTTGTTTTTATTTTACTAATTTATATTTTATTTTTGAATCGTATCTTTGATGCCTAATCTTTCCTATTATCACTGAAACTGTTACTGCCTCTACTATTCTCGGATTTAACGTGACAAATTCATCTCTTTGTGTTAATGGGGTACGGCAAGTTGAGCCGATGTACATACTTACAGGTTCTACGTTGTGACTGGCTGAGTTTAAGTTGCCACACCATATTAGCATAGCGAAATTGAATGGTCAGGAAAAATGATACAGTAGTAATATCACTGATAGTAGAAAAGAACAAGCATAAACAATGTGATCCGGGGTATAAGATAATCTTAAAACTCAAGATATCGGGTGTTAAATGAAGCCGCGTCATAGCGACTGATTCGGAGCCATATCAACCAACATTTCCAACCATTGGTTATGATAATCACGCAGACTTTAAGCCTGTAGTCTGGGTCTATAAACACTGCTCAAAGCAACACTTAATGACCACATGGGCGGATGCCATGACTTGTATATATAGCTCTTAACTTTCTGCTAACCTAGTGTTACATTAAGAGGAATCGCCACACTAAAGCCAAACACCAGATGGTTAACATAGTTTTGCTAACTAACTGAATTATTACTATTTGTAAGAGTTTGTAGTTTGTCATTTTTAATAATTGAAAATGAACCTGTGTTGACATATGGGCTTCTTGAGCAAATGACTCAATACCGCCCGTAGCTAAAAATTGATCAAGATAGTGGGAGACGGTAGAATTTGAGGCATCCGTCTAGTCTGGTTCTGAACTAGTCCGCTGAATGCACCTGCATCTCAGTGATATTTTTCACAATGAGATTCGAATCAAGTACTCATCAATAGCTTTGGGTGCCAGTGTATCATTTATCCACGATAAATAATCGAGCACACATTTATTTTCCAGGCTTCCAATCACAGTTAGTGTATGGAGGCTAAAAAGTGATCCCGTTGTCCAGATCCTGAGGCAAGTAGAGCAGGGGTCGAACCCGTCCCACTTAAATGTGAAAATAAATTGGCGCCAATATTTTTCAGATTTAACTGTTAAGAAATATGTAATGAGATCCAAAAGTTTCTGGAGAAAGTTAAAAACTACGGAATCAACTGAATATGAGAATTCAACTAGTTAGTTTAATGCACAAGCTACACCTATGCGGCCGAATAAGTATGCCACATGACTTCAGTCACTGATTACCACTTGGCTCTTTTCAAATCCATAATCAGAGGAAAAAAGACAGTCAGAAATATGCAAAATCGTTTATAAGCGCAATCACTATTTAATGAGTTGAATGTAAATTGATCCCCCTTGAGTGAACATTTTTGTAAGGGACATAGTTCTCATTAGGATATAGATGACTAGTTATAAACCTTCTGTATTCACTGGCTTATAAGCAGCGGAAAATGCCATGGTCATAACCTAGCGTCACACTGGTTTCACAAAAATCATTTTGAAAACATTGAGAGAGTGCTAGATTTTAAGGTACCCCCTTAGTCAACGCAATTATGCACAAATAACTAACGTTGAAGAATGCTGTAAAGAACAGTAAGCATTCTTCTATAAATAAAAAGCTCAATTATATATATATATATATGAATTGTCTTACTCCAAAATTTTTGGACGAGCATTAGCAGAGTTTAAATTGACTGTATCATCTGTTAACGTTGTCATTATAGGTGAATATGCCCATCGAACAACTGCTTCCGGATCAATCAAACCAACACGACACATATGTTCTGTAATAATGACAATCATTTGTGGATTATTAGCCCAAACCGCTTGAATTACATGTAAAGCTTCTACTTGAGTTTCAACAGTAGATGTAAGAGTCCGGATGACAGCAGCATACCTAAACATTAAACACAAAACAAATGGGAATGAGAAGGTATGCCAATATCGCGTTGTGAATCTCCCTTTCTTTATATTAGGATACTATAAAATTGAATTTCGAAATGTAAACCTTCTGAAATTAGTTTAGACAACACCATCCAGCAAAACTTCGAAAAAAAACCCAATGAAGCTGAAACAGCTTTGACTGAAATCTCAGGTAAACTCTGGTCCGTCGTATTCTACTACATAGCAATCCAGTGTATGATTTGAGTTTCTTTAACCTGATTGACTTCTACCGACCGATGTCCAGTATAAACGATGTTTAGTCTTTGTGAACACATACGACTGATCCTCATTCGAAGGTTAACATTTGGATTTATCTGAATCCAAGTTTCGCAATCCCTACCCTATATACCTTCAAGCTGAATTGCCCATTTATCTTGATATTCAGACTGAAACGAATAGTCTGATTCCTCTACTTTATCAGTTTTAACGTGATAGGTTCACAACAGACAACTATTCTAAATGAGCTCTCAAGTGAGGGTTATCTTCAAAATTAAACATTAACTGGAGAAAGTATGGAAGGTGTGTTGAGAAATCCAAAATAACGCAGTTTGGAAACTAACTTTTTTATGAACGCAAATGTGTGACTGATTGTTTTATGACCAGCGATCAACATAGCAGAATAAAATAATTCAATAGCTAAATTTGTCACTCCAGGAGAAAGTTCAGACACTTGAGCTGCTGTGGTAAATGGCAACTTTTCGATAGAATCACTTCTTACACCGACCTGTTCATCGGCATTACCTTCTGATGATATTTTCAAATTACGTTTCATTGCACTCTCCCGTAACATTCGTCGACGCGCTTTAAGACGAGCACGAATTTCTTGTTTAGCAGGCTCAGGATCATCCAAGTCATCAAACTCAGGATCTGACAGAGGAATGGTATCAATGGGGCTTTTTCCACGACGCTCCTCATCACTATGATCAGAGTGACTATCATCACTAGATGCATCTTCATCTTTTTCATCTCTTACTCCATCATTATCAAATGGTTCTGATAGTGAAAGACGCCGACCACGACTTTGTGAGGCAGTTTCAGCTATTCTTAAGACGGTTTGGGGTTCAAGGCGTGCTCGGATAGAATCCACTAGACGAAAGAATGCACGTGCAGAAGACAAATCTATAATGGAAAATAGTGAAGGAACATAAACTAGAGGAAATCACTGTAAAAGAAATACTTAAACCATACATGATTCCATATGAAGCAAAACAGGCAATACAGTTTGTATCATTCAACAAGATTTCCAAATTAAGATTTTTATCCCATAACCTTTTATAAATCTCTTTATTAAACGCATAAGACTGACAACATACGTAAAGCGGCTGTGTTGGTTTGTACACTAAATATCACGAGCTTAAACGAAGTACGATAATTATCAAAACTATTCGATTACCGAGACTGTGTAAGTGGGGTGGAATTCAAATCTGATAATAAATAATTGGAATCAGTTATCTAAAATTACAAAGTCACAATTCTATATCGTGATAACAAGATTAAATAAATTATTGAAATCTACATTTATGTGTGTTGGAGTTAAAATGATGTGTTTATAAAGAGAAATGCTTCTATGTATAAAACTTCCTGTTTGAAGAAAAACTGCGTAGAACTTCATTTGATTCATGTGTACGTTGCACAGTCAATTTTATCCTTGTTTTTAAATCTAAACAGATTTTGAGACTCTTCATATGCAGTTGTCAGTTATCTATTTTAATAAGCAAAATCTTGAATAAGGTTTTTGGGTGACAAGAGATTGAACGGCTTAGGAATTAGAATCCCTTTATAAAATAGCCAACTACAAAGTGGGTTCAGAAGTGTATAAACGAACAAATAATAACAACTTACTGACATTACTTGTTATATTGATATTTCAATTTAATAAAAATACCTATGTTATTAAAAGACAGTTCTTTGGGAGTGCATCTGACTCGAACGTTAATCGATCTCCGATTTATTTCGTTGTTTACTTAAACTGATTCCGTTGTGCCATCATATTAGCTAGACAAAGTGATATTAAGTCCTATATAAAATGTGTTGGGAATATATGTATTTCAGACTGGGTACTCTGTAGATAAAACCAGTGACGAGAAAAAATTGAATGAAAGAATGAATTATGTGGTTTGCGAATTGAACACATAAATCAACCTATAAATTTTTTAATGAGTTTACATACTTTAAAAAAGCTAATTTGTAAATAGATAAAAAAGCAAACACATATATTAAAGATGCACATACATGGAGGTTAACGATTAATTTTATGCGAGAATAGGTACAAGAGGATTAATAGGATTAACAATGGCACATTTAAAATTCACCACTGTTGAGCCTTTTAACCAGTTCAAAAAAACAAGCCTGCGTAGTTATGGTGCTGATACAGCTAACACTACATCTTAAGGATTCAAATATTAATTACCTGGATTACTTTCATATTTATTGATTACCGTAGGTTGAGGTGGTAACATTATATAAAAAGATTTCGGAAGTAAACGTTTGACGTTCTCGTAGTATGAAAAACTAAAACAAAAAATGTAAAATACAAGATGATAACTAGCTGTAAATGTACAGAAACAACCCTTAGTACAGATGTGCACTGATCCAAAATTACCATACCGAATAAGTAAAATCAGATTAGTTGAACAAGTGAGCAGTAAAGGAGTCGGATTAATAAAGGTAATAGTAACAATAGGAAAAATGGGCTAAAAATACAGAATACGGGGCTGGAAAAGAAAGAATGAATTCGCACGATCAAAATGTGAAATAATCTCGAAATTCGGAATTTTCGAGAAAACAGAAAAACATTAATGACACTGATTTTAAGTCTTGTCACTTAAGATCTAAAATTATTGATTTCGACTATTGTTTGGATCCTAACAAAGTAGTTTGCACCTATCAACGTCAATAATTTCACAGACTAATAGATATGTTTTGGGTTGAATGCCTTTAGCAGTTTCTCTAAACCCACCTACTCCTATATCAGACAGGACTATAGGTTGACGTAAGAGGTGCTCCGATATACGTAGCACATGTGCTCAATCATCTTAACCCATGAAGATTCATAATTTTATCAAATGATTTTTCATCTTTACACAGTAATTACATTTGAAGTAACGAACAATCATGTGATATCTTACATTAACATGAATATTGCTTCTATGTTACGATTATAATCATAAACAATTCAACAACTCTGTACTATCTAATCTGCAATTTTGTTATACAGTTTTGAAATTTCAGAAACATGACTACATATAGTACCATGTTTTCCAACTTGCAGATTAGTACACATCGAAATATTAGCAAGAATATAGTATAATGGTAATAAATCATCTCTTGGTTTTATCGACTAACTATATATATATGGATTTACTTAAATGTAACAGAGATTTTTAATTTTGCGGATAAATTTTACAGTTTAACTTACTCTTAGTAAAATTAACATTAAGTCTTTATAATATTTCGATATGATGTAGTCATTGAGTGTACCAAATATGTGGTTTAGTGTGTTATCAAACCATTGCAATAATAATAATAATAATAATAATAATAATAATAATAATAATAATGGCAATCCTGTCTAAGAACACATGTCATACAGAAATATACTCACCGTATTAATCGACATAATGTTTCGGTAATTAAACGTTTTTGTGGAGACATCGGATCTAGAGTTAGAGATGAGGACCACTCTTTCCAACTCCATTGCAATTGATAATTACTTAAATGATAGGAAAACCATTCAATAAACCTACAGGATAACAGTAATAATAATAATTTAAATGTCTGAAGTAAAAGGGTGTTGAAGCAGTACTGATATTTCAACTGGGTAAAACAACAGTTTAGTGAATAAAACATTTGGTTTGCAATCTACTAGTGTTAGATTCGAGTTTTATTAGTAGGAGAAGTCCAATTGTCAAACAAAACGATTTGGATTTGGAGCCACATATTTCTTAATGTGTTAGGAATGGTGATATTCGACCGACTATTCAAAGCGAAGTAGGTGAAGTGGAGCTCGAACTAGTAACTTGGTACTCTCAAGCCAAGGGCTTTAACTACTAAATCATCGCTTCCCGATGTAGAGCTTAGTATCATGTTCGCCTAACCAGCGAATACAAGTCTTTTACGGTCCTATCTCTTGCAAATAGAATATCAACAATATTTTTCTCATAATTCCAGGAATTCCTAAGATATCAGCCCAGTCCTATTAGGGAGGAAGGTGGAGATTTCACTCTCTCTCTCAAAATCCTTTCATATGGTCACGCGTTTACATCCACTGATAGAAAAGTCTTCCTACTCACTGCAGTCCAGCCGTAGGGCTTTTGTTTACGGAGGTGGGCAGTCGAAAAGCGAAAGCCCGGCTCTTGCTGGGTACGAAGGACCTACCCTAAATTAAAACTGATTACAAACGAATGGTACTCATGAGCTCCAGAATCCTAAAGGGACGAATGACAAATGAACATATCTTTAACCATCGGTTGACATAGATTGCATCTCCTAACTTTGTTCAGTTGTCGAATAACCCCTTAAGAAAATCACCTGCATATGATTGGGCGCCCTAGGCAGTGTCCCAACCTACATATAAATATATATTGAGTACAGGGACCCTGTTAAATATTCGTCCAGGATAGTTGGGCGTTAGTATTTTGCTAAGCACCAGAACACTAGCATTATTCAACTGCATGCCTTTTAACAGTCATTTATGTGCTGCTATATAATAAAGCTCCATCGAAATGCGAGGAAAACTATATGGGGAACAATGTCTTTCCGTAATCTCAGCCTATCCCCCGACAGGTTATTGACCCAAATAAACCAAGGATAAGTGGTACCATCATTTGAACGACCTCAGGAGAACGCATGCGACAGATATTATAATGCTACTCGGAGATTAGAATGTACGGATCGAGTGTCCGTGCAAATAGGACAGCTGTTAGTGTCCACTGTAGACTCGCTGATTGCAGATCAGATAACAGTGACCGTCCCAAATAGAACGAAACGCAAGTCCTGGGTTCCAACGCTAGCCACTATTCATCTTTGCTTAAAAAGCTTGTGACTTAATGCTATATTGAGGCAATCCGCACAGGATGCACATATGCCAATGTGAGACTGATCAATTAATGTCCTAAATAACAATGGGAAGATCCAAGTAAAACAACACCACGTGAATTTAATCTTATGTCTTATTAGCCCATAAACCAATCGTTGTAAAAGAATTAATGTAAGCAAATCGGTTGGAGTTTCTGTCTCATTCAAATATCAAACCAAGTTAGATTCAAAGCTAGCTATCGACCCGCAGTATGGATAAGGACTGGTTACGTTTGCATGACCCCATCAAAATGGTGAGTCAAGTCTTTTGCAACTTCATGAAACGGTACAATTGTGAGCACTGTGTTTCTGCAGATTCCTTACAATTTTTTCTAGCAATTGGGTCAACATTGCCTAATCGCGAGTTAGATGATAAACAGATACGTCATTAACTGTGTAGTTTGCTAACGGACCGAGAAATCTGGAGTTTTTTTTGGAAGCAACAGTTAGATTTAGTTAATCCCTGAAGATGTTTCAACTCATCCAAGATATTAAAACCACGAAGTCTGACGTAACTGAATCAATCTGTGAAGATGGAATGACAATCAGTGATGGGGAAGGGCATCCCTAAGAAATTTATTAACATCATGAAGACAATACACACAATTACTCCCCTTCAGTGTTTCTTTTTAGCAGCAGGGTTAAGCAGGTTTTCCCAATCTTAACATTCCTCCTCAACGTTGTCATCAATGACATTTTAGAAACAGCTCTGATGGAAGTACGGAGTAGTGATGGGGATCTGTTATCTTGAGGAAAATTTTTGATCTTGAGTATGCAAATGATATTGTCTTATGTTGTGATACATCAGCTTCATAAATCGCGCTTAGTTGACAATTAGTGACAATATAGTATATACTTTACACCTTATAAATCCAAAGTACTTTTACAAGACTGACAGGAGCCTGTGGCTGCACTCACTCTTCGTAGTGAGCTGTTAGAAGTAGTCAAAAAGTCCGCGTGTCTGAGTAGTTGTGTGAATGGTATTGGTGCTGTTCATGATGAGATCAATGTACATACAGCGAAAGCCAGAGTGACTTATGACAATCAGGGTTATATCTTTGGTGCTGTAGTAATATTGGAATGTTTGTAAAAGGTCGGATTTATGTGTCAATGAGAACATTTGCATAATAGTGTATCTAAAGTGCTTTGTTGTTGTTAAAATATACAGTTGGATGTTTAGAAAAATAATCAGTAAAGAAGCAACACTAAGAGTGGCAATAGTGGTTAACAGGGGAAACTCACATCACTATAAGTTTAAACATAAATGTTAATTTTAGGAAGATAAACAATGTATGTGACTTATATCATATTAGTCAGTCAATCACAGATATGACAATAAATCTTAACATGAAATCATAATCAAATGTAGTCCTACCTGCCAATACAAACAGGTTTCATATTATCTAAACGCTCAAATAGGACTTCAGTGGCTTGAGCTAACACCAGAGGAATTGTATTACTAGCTTCATGGCATAACTGTACTAGTAAACTCCCATAAAACAGAAGATTCCCATGTTGAACTGGTGGACGAGGTAAGTGAAACATTCCAGCAAAAACAGCTTCAATGATCATGTAATCTAAAGCTACTTTGGCTCGAGTTTTGAGTCCCAACAGAGCTTTAGCACTAAAAAAACCGAAGGTATTGATAAAGTATAGGAATAAACCTGAGAATATTAAAAAAGATAAGGTACATGAAGTATATATAAAGGTGCGATTACTAACACCGAAGTAAAACAAAATTTGACTTAAAACTGAAAGTGGTTTTCTTACATTAAGTCTACAAACAAGTTGGAAAAATTCAAGATATCACTGCACAAGAATATTTTTTTCAAGATCACTTGAAATTGGAAAAACGCTTAAAAACAAGCCATTTTGCTACCATAGAAGCTGAATTTAGGTCACCAAATTTTTCCTGACAGTTATTCATTTCAGAAAATCTAATGGACAGATATAACAACCAAAACATTTCACTAGTTCAAACAAAAAGGTAATGAAACACTGCATCATTGTATCGGTTAAAAAAATAAATAACCCAGTAAAATACTGATTGGTTTTCTTTATATTCTAGCAAAATACTGTACAGTCAGTTGCCATGTAAATATACTTAATGATCTAAATCTTGCTTTCCCTAACATTTACATATGTTTTCATACCAGTATACATTGTAGTACGTAATATACAAGCAGTCCATATTACTAATTAAAACTTCAATGGTAATAAGTTGCGAAATAAATCTTTACATAGTTTATGCTTGCTAACTGTTAGTCACTCATAATCGACGAAGAGCTTAGTACAAATGTGAGTTAGCCAAAGTTTTTAACGGTAGCCAAAATGATGAGAAAAAAATATTAGTTTACTTACCACATAACTCTGTTGAAACTTAAATTATTCATCAAAATTGCCAAATGTTCATCAATAAGGAATCGTTCGATAGTATGTGCTCCCGGAAGGACAGGAGTTTCTTTATTAGATTTAACTCCATCTGATGATAAATCTGAATTAGGAACAATCTCGTTTTCATCTTGATCTATTACATCAGTATAGTCAAACATTCGAAAAACCACAGATGGAAGAGGATAAATAACCTCCGCATCATAATCAGGAGGTGTGAGCTACAAAAAAAGAAACCATCAAAGTATTCTCTACCAATAAATTAGAAACGTGAAAAATTGCGTGAATGATAGTAGCAATGGCGACAAGAGTCAAAATTTGAGGGAATCGTCATGGAAACTTAACTTACAGGTGATAATTTATGCGGCTGACCATGTTCTTTTAAGCTAGGAAAAGAGTCATATAATCTCCAAGTTACTTTTTCCACCCAACCACTATTTCGGAGATTGCATATTTGAGCCCACAAACAATCCAGATACTGGAATGAAAAGATAAAAGAAGGAACTGACCAGCAAGAATACTCTGAAAGGACAAATTAAACTAAGAAGACTCAATATTATCACAAAAATAGATGAAATTATCGAATTCAATGTCTATTAGTAAATTATCTTGGAAGTGTAATGCTGTCGAAATTTTAATCAGTGTAAGGACGAGAAAAAATAAGCCATTTTTTAACCCAGTGTCACTTTTGTTTACTATTACTTCTGCTTCAATTCAGTGTGATAGTTTATGCAATACAACATTAGTTTTATTTCAGTGAAATATGTTTTGTATTAATTTCATTTGAACTTAGTTCAACTTAACATAACTTGCATATGTTTTTGTAGTAACTGTGTATTTCCCATATATGTGCTACTTATTAACTAATCATCAAGTGTGTCTGTGAAATCGATTCATGTATGTGTATTATCTACAGCGGTTGAAGTGGTTTTGAAAAGTCAATAATAATGTCCATCTGCACCAGTTTTCATGTTCTTATTTATCTCGCGTACGGGTAGCGGATACCGGTCACAGTGTTTACAGTAGTATCCAAGGTTACAACAGGAAGTAAAAGGTCATTAAAAGTATGCTGCTTTATTACGAACTCAAGACGTTGTAAGCAACCTCAATCACCGAGACGTTATAAAGAATGAACTGTTTCTGTAAAGATCTTTGATATTCGACTGTAATAATACTTGACAGTCTAGTATTTGTAGCAATATGCTACTGGAAAAACTGAGACTGATAAAAACTAAGCAGTAAATCAAACATTTTTACATTTAGCAAATCTGAATCGAGAAGTTTAACGGTTACCTTAAGAAATATTAACAATGTAGTGATGCAGTTTTAAAATACTGTATAGGTTAGTGTCATTCAGTATTTGAGAAGGGTGACTATATTAAAAGTTAACAAACTGAAATATTACACAGATATTAGTTGAACTGTATTGAGCAATCAGTTAAAGTTGAATAAAATACTTTCAAAATAACGAAACAATGTCTTCACAGTAAAGCTTTACTTACATCTTCTTGTGGGTGAGGATCATTTGACTCCCAAACGCGTAATAATGAGACATGGGGGCACTGGCGTTTACTAAAATATAATTAAAATTCTTAGGAAGCTAGCAGTCTATCATTGAGGACTAATTAAGTATATTAAATGTTTCAGTTAATGTAATAAATAACATTCAGGATGACGATATTACAGAATACCAAAGAGATCATATGATGTGCCAACTAAGTGGCACAATAATGAACATTTCGAAAGGAACATTATCAAGACATTGTTTTTGGTGAACAAACCAAACAAGAGATAAAAAATTGATGGGAAACTTCTTAAAAATATAGGACATTTGGTTGATTGATAGCTACAATTAACTGACTTGACTAAATGAATTATTTTCTAAACGTCTATCACTTTGATTTTATTTGTATTCGATCCACAGACAAACTTTTCCGTGAAAACTATTGGTGGGTAAAATAATACTATAAATACCTTACAAAGCGTAACTAATATTATCTATAATCTTATGTGATGCTATTTTTTTCACAAGTAGACAGTTTATCATGTTTTTGTACCAATATTTATGTGTTCAAATAAATAAATAATGTGATGCTATTGCTGTTTGATATGTACATCAATGCCCTGGTACGGCCAAGGGTGGGTAGAGTCAGTTCTCTTCGAAATACTCTCACGCGGCCAGGCGTATACAGCCACTGCCAGGGAAGTCCTACTAATTGTCTTCTCGTGGCGAGGGCGTTATTTACGAAATTGAGAGGACGAGAAGCGAATGTCTGGCTCTTTAACCAGGTTGGTGGATACGGAGTCCACCTAGGGGAGTCGGGAAACTCTGACTTCGAACCAGTGGTGCACATAGGCTCCAGTATCCTGAAGGAACCGATGACGTATGAACCTATTGTTGGTCACCAGCTACTATGGGACTGCATCTTCTGACGTCGTTCCATTGCCTAATAGATCAAACCTTTAGGTCAAAAGCGCCGGGTGTGGCCCCCTAATAAAATAAGCATAAAATTGGGCTCATAAGCCTGTACTTCATAAATTACAGATTTCCCTAATTTAAAAACAATTCGAATCAATATTTCCCGCTTAAACTACAAATTTCGCCGGGAATCTGATGTCATAAATTCGTACATTAACGTTCAACATGGGTTTGAGAGTCCACAGAAAAACATGAATCTGTTCGATTTACAGAAACATTTCAGCATGATTCGTAAACCATACATTTTGAACGTTTTCCATTGTTTGCTGGAGCAAATCTAACAATTTCAGACAAAATCATTCTTATGGAAATCTTTGTGGTATTCGAAGTGAAGTATTTTAATATTCTTGTTTGCATTCGAAAAGATATCCAGAATACCCTTGAAACGTCTCATTATTAAATGACTGAGAAAATCTGGATCACTATGACTGAATTCTACTTGGCATACTTTATTTATATTGGATTAAGTGTTGTTGTAATAGACGATCGATGTTTAAAAGTCTGGATTCGGCAAACTTGGAGACAACTTAGCAATCCAAGGAAAACTTGCCATACACTTGTTAGTATATGAGGAACGGTAATGACAACATAGGAAATCAGTTAACACACTTTGAGGGCAGTGAATGATCATCATAACACCAAAGAACACAAATCTGTATACAGAAACGTTGTATAGACCGCATATTTTATTTCAGTACAAACAAAACAAACTTACGTCATGTAAACTTCAATTGTACCTAATATATCGTTTAATGCTGAAGTGTCATAAGAAGCTAGCAAGTAACCACTCTGAAAGGGTACAAACAAATCATAGATTAGAGGAAATATACATCCAACTATTTGTTTTGTTACATAAACAAAGTAATGTAGCTAAAATGTGAATGATTACATACGTAATAATTTTGCAAGCTGGATACAAGTAAGGTTGTATTGTCGAATACAATAATAAACTAACATTCTAGACATTTATCTCTGATTAGGGTCAGCAGTCAGCTACAATGTAGAACGAGGCACATATATGCATCGGTCCACGTTGCCACACCTCATCAGCACAAGGTGAACATCAGATTCACAGAAAGTTACTTCAGTGGTAGTAATATATATAAAGTCAGTCAGTCAGCTACAACGTAGGACCAGGCAAATATATGCATCGGTCCAAGTTGCCATACCTTATTACCACAACAAGATGGACACCGGATTCATAAAAGTAGTTAATTCAGAGGTGGTGATATATAAAAGAAAGATTGCAATAAGGATATAGTGTGTGGCATATATATATTTGGCGCATTCTTGTACCAATATTTATGTGTTCAAATAAATAAATAAAAATAAATACAGTACAGTAAGAAAGAATTAGTTCGTAGAAAGAAAGATATGAAGCGATTTTAATCTCATTACTTGAGAGAAGACAGAGAGTGTATACACCTATGCCATTGTGATCGATTATGAGACATGTCACCCACAGTCTCCAACCATTGGTTACGATAGTCGCACGGACCTCAACCAAGTAGTCTGCATCTACCAACATGGCTCAGACCAAAAATTAATGACTTCAATGACTGATGCCACGTTTTCGTTTGATCACCCCTAACTTTCTTCCAACTATCTCCAACACTAGTCAACATTGTACGCCATGGTATTCGGTGTTCAGGCATACGTAACACGTAGCCCAACCATCTTAGTCGATGATGGTTCACGACCTTATCGACTGACTTACCATCACTCTCTAATACCCTGTGTCTAACCTCACTATTACTTATCCAGCGATCCCAGCAGATGTAAGTCATATTTCTAAGGCATCTGTAGTCAAATAACAGTAACTTACGAGTATCTTCTACTCTTAATGGCCACGTTTCGCAGCTGTAAATTAGAACAGAACCAACTGCTAAGCAGTATACTCGCTTCTTAATTGATAGACAGATATCTCGTTTTCGTCATAAGTGATATGGGTTGGCAGTAGCCAAATCAGCTTTTTGAATTCGTGCAGGGACCTCGTCAGACATTGACCCATTAGGGCTGATCAGACTTCCAAGATAAGTGAAGTTGTCGACACGTTCAACTACTTCACTCTGATTCTTAGTTCAGGAATTGATGCAGACCAGTCCTGAAGCAACAATTTGCATTCAGAGGAGGAGAAACTTATCCCAAACATCCTGGCATTGTTGCTCAGTACTTCCAAAAGACTGCATTTTATCAACGACTTCACCAAACAGGACAATGTCATCTGCGTACTCAAAGTCGATAATTGGACTCCCTGGTAGGAGATCAGTTCCTGATAATCCAGTCGGCGAGAAAGTTATTTCCAGCAGTAGGTCTACGATGAAGTTGAACAAAAATGGAGGTCGTGGACAGCCTTGACGGACACCACTTGAGGTTGCAAACTCAGATGACAGTTCGCCATAAGCTCTGACTCGACTAATGGTGTTCGAGTAGAGAGCCTCCACAAGGTCTATGTACTTCTGAAGTAAGCCTTTCAATGGCAGACACTGCCACAGAATCTCGCGGTCTACGGAATCAAATGCTGCTTTCAAGTCAAGAAAGACCACCATTGTCGGACGGCGATAAGTATGCCTATGTTCAAGAACTTGACGAATGGTGAATATGTGGTCGATGCAGCCACGACCAGGTCTGAAGCCAGTTCGATTCTCTCGTGTTTGCGGTTCACGAGTCTTAGTTAGGCGTCCGATAATTATCGAGGATAGTATTTTAGATACTATATTAGTTAAACCAATCCCTCTATGGTTGTCACATGATGATTTTGACCCTCTCTTATATATTGTGACAATCAGTGACTGCAACCAGTCAGATAGGATTACGTCCAACTCCCAGATTTTAGCTAAAATGTTAGTCAATCTGATCGCTAAAACTGAACCATCATACTTGAACACCTCTGTACCCAATCCATCTGGACCAGCTGCTGTTCCTCGTTTCAGGTTAGCTATGGCGTTTTGAACTTCAGCTAAAGTCAGGGCACCTATTTCAATGTTCCATTCAGGCGGTCTAAGAATGGTGAGTAGTTGTAGAGTATCTGAAGGCTAGCTGAACTGCTCCTTAATGTGTTCCGCCCATCGTACTGAACGTTTGGGCTGAGATAAGTGTCGTCGTTTTCCGAGATCGTTTCACTTACACTTGACTTCTTAATTCCAATTTCTTTTATTAGTCTGAAAAGCTGTCTGGTGTTACTTACAGCAGCTGTCTTTTCCATTTCTTTTGCTTTCGTTGCCCACCACTGCTCACAGTCGTTTCTTAGACTTTTGGTTAACCTAGATCTGATTTGTTTTCGCTCTTTATCGTGTTCAGAGCCTGATGGAATGAGTTTATGAGAATATATCAGTGCAATAGACTTAACAGAAATCCACTGGTTTGTCATGACTTTTCGGTTCGAATCACTAATAGATGTCACCGCTGTTTCCACAGCTGTTCATATATCACTCCAAGCAACATCTGGATTAGTCTCGTTTTTAGAACTGCCTAAGTGTAGCCTCAGTTGTTCCTGGAATATACTTTTGGCTTTCTCTTCACTGAGTTAAACTCTAATGGATCTTCTTAATGTGGTTCTTCTGAATCCAGTGAGGCGCAAGCAAATGCGTACTTGCATTAGAGCATGATCAGAGCCTAAATATGTATTCCAGAACGCGCGGCAGTCTTTTATCGACCCTCTCCAAAGATGACTTACGGCAATATGATCTATTTGAGTCCATCGTTGGTTTGGTGCAGGGGTTCGCCATGTTAGACGATGTATGTCCTTATACTAAAATTAGTGTTTGCTAAATATAAACGACGGTCGAAGCAGAGCTGCAGCAAACGGTCACCATTATCTGTTCACTGAGCCGGAATACCAAAACGCCCACCTAAATGTCTTTCTGTTTGGTTTAAGCTACCTATCTGCGCATTAGTGTCACCTTCTACGAGTACTATGTCTGAGCATAAAGCTCTTTGAAGAAGTTTAGGAAACCTTCTGTAAAAATCTTCCACTTCATTCGAACTGCGTAGGCAGAAATGACGAAAAGGCAACGACGTATGTCCCTATCCTTCCGAGTTCTTACGGAGCAGTCTAGCCGGACAGCACATTGGCGACTGCTAACAGGTATCCATTCTAATAGTGTTTATTCTGTCCTCGTACTTAGTGCTATTCCCACACTTACCAGTCCACGAGAACTAGCCATCGGGTCGCCAGATACACAGAGGGTGTATCTCGTCGGCTCTCTGTTTTGGCGAGGTGAGGTCGAGTGAATAACCACACTAGGATGCTGTCTGGGTGTTTTGGAGACACAGCATACAACAATAGTACGAGATTCTAGGGCTTTAATTAAGGAGGCCTGCTAGCCGATTTGATATAAAGTGCGTACGTTGAAGGCTCCAGTGTATATTTTAGAGCGGGGTTTCAGTAGATCTGGGACAATGCTTTCCGAACTAGAATCGTTGGCCATGGTGACACTTAAAAAGGAAGTCAAAAGAGGAAGTTGAGAGTTGGAAATCGAGGTAGAAGGAATAATAGCAGTTGAAGAGGAAAATTAATTATGAATAAAGTGATCTTGAGTATTGTTAGAGGTATGGAAGCAGTCATCACTTCCCGATTGCCCACACCATGGAATGGTTTTTCTAGAATTACGTGAAAAAGAAATTGGCTTAAAGGTGGCCTTAGTGACCTGAGAACGTGACCGCAGTACCCAAAAGACAACTGTTTTGAGGTCGGTCGAATACGACCTTTTTGTGAGTAGTTTCCGCTTTAGCTCAGTACTTGTCGGGGCCTTACCGCCGGAGACGGAAATCAGTGGGACGAGGTGAAGTCTTCATTTTTAGGGTCGACCTTTTCTAACCCCAGCCTTCCTTGTGGGAAGGCAGAATTAGTGTCTAGGAAATATGCACACTAAAATCTAATGTCATCAAACATACTAGTTTCACAAACTGTTGTTTTTTAAAGCCTTCCACCGAGACGACAGTGATTCTTCATCCGCGATTGTGTATACGTTCGGAGACATTTAACAAATGTACATGAGTTAGTCTACCGCTACCCGTATGAAGACATTCAGATATTTTTATACTTGCCATTTTAAAAGTATATCTGTGCATGACATAGGGACAGTGTTGAACTTTAATGCATAAACGGTAATCATTTAGTAAACCTGTGAATAAGTAAACTACAGCAAACGATAAGTCAGATCATTCCTATGTAAATGACAACTGCAACAACTTGAGGTAACAAATGGAAACAAAATTAATTTTGTATGCACTCACGACTATATTCACTAGTTACTAAAAAAGGCGTATTTATTCTGTAATATATTGTACCATTTTAAATGTGTAAAATAGCTTACTTCGAGATCAAAACATGAGGTATACTAGAAATCAGAGTCAATAAAAATATGGTACAGAATAAGTGTAATATGGAGAACTGGGAACAAGGTGCATCAATACTTTGAAATAGTCGTTGATTATCTATGTCGATCCTGATAAATGCTGACAGATCCCTAGTCGCAAGTGTTCTTGAACTGCAGATTAAATATAGATTACCAAAATACCTGATATGTATACGAATACAAGGATGTCAAAGGCAACAGGTGAAAACTGAGTTAGAGATTGATATGCTTCACTTACGTATGGTAGACCGTAAAGAATCACGTATGTGTACCAATCAGTTCGAGCCTGAGAACTTCGTCCTGCATCAAGAGTGACTTCAGCAAAATTTTCGTACAGACCGAGAATGGATGCTTTCTGAACAGTATGACAGTTAACAGATACTGACAAGAACAAAACCTAGACAAGTAATGAAAGCAAAACCACATCATATACTATATATTTAGCATCCTCAAAACTCGCCGATCTAATAGCATCCTTCAGGTCTCGCTGTAGAAGTTCTATCAACTAAAGAATTGTTTTTACCAATATGTGATACATACTTGGCCGACAAACGAACGATTTTTTAGATTCAGCAGCCCAACTAACGTTGAGTAAATTAGTATTCGTTCTGGAACATTCTTTACACTAAAAGGATCATAAGTAAATCGGAAAATACCAATTGCTCAGAACTTTCAAAAGGCCCTCTCCATTCTTTGGGATATCTGCTAGAATAACTGACGCGAGTTCTCCAATATCCCGTTCTATATTAGAAAGGTCCTAGGAAGTTCATGAGCATCAAAAGATATAGTACTTTGAACCCTATTCGATATATGAGAGATTCAATCGTATCTGGTTCTGTCCTGTCTCTTTTTGATCTAAAGTCTTAATCAGAACTAAGTAAGTCGAAGTTTCAGAAATACCATCTTCATCAAACGAATCGGAACGCCGCTTCCGCCTCATTTTTTCAAATACCGCCCTCCCAATATCCAATATCTTTGTCCTTAGCTTATGTTGTTACGTCCAGTCATTGGTAAGTTTGAGTTTGACCTGAGGATATTTTGTGTAGTGGAGTGGTATTTGGATGAGTGGGACTGTTTGAAGAAAAAAATATGGGGAAAACTTAGTTAATGAGTCTGTAAGCATACAGAATTCAGTTACATTTCAAAACGAAAGCAATTGAAAGCAGTCAGAAATAACGTGAACTTGGAATTAGGACAGCCTGAAAATCGAACCAAAAAGTCAATAGTGTAGAATTTTGATCGTGATACGCATAAATCAACTGATTTCTCGATGCTCTCTTCTTGTAATTTTGGTGCGGTCCTAGTTATTTGGTTATGTCCAGTGGGTGATAGTGTGGCCACTCGACTACGTTAATCCCAATCAGTTTGGCAGTTGTTTGTGAATTCGTATATATTTTTTAATTCGAGTGAGTATGTTTGTCCCAGGGCAAAATGGGTTCTGGATACCAGTAGATAGTCTGGTAAGGTGGTTGAATGCAATGTGAAAATAATAGTGATAATTCGAGTCCTAAAAGAAGACCATCGTTTCAAGAACAACAAATAAGTCAAGTAGTTGATAATATACAAGAAGACAGAAATGAAGAAATAAGAGTGGAACGGTAATGATAATAAGAGAGATAGGAGGTAGTTACCGGTATTCTGAAATGATAACCGTAATAAGTTATGAAACCTGCATTAGACATATCTGGTACAAGAGAGAAACGTTAGTCCATAGACGATTATTTATTTGTCAAGTGTCCTCTTAAGCCATCAACTGAGGGGACCGTAGTCAGTTCGGCTGAGAGAGAATCCTATATGTGGGCGATTCTTAGTGATAAGAAGTGAGGGCATACCTGAATGATTCCGCAACCTTGAGTAACTCGATACTGTGTAATGTTATGGCTTTGAAGTGACTGTTAAAGTATATCGCCACTCCACCTCCAGTTTTGTGCATCATACCTGAAAAGTGTTATAACTTGCAAGCTCAATATTCCATTCGTAATGTTAGGCGATAGCCTTGTTTCAGCTGGGACTATGATCTTCATATTAAACCGAAAGCACATGTCTCTGATTTTGCCTAGTGTAGCCTAGTTCCTCCTCACCGTGCGAACTGACCACGCACTAGACGTCGATATATTCGAACCCTGCGAATCACCGCAAGACTGTTTAATAACACTCGATTCACCCCAAATTACAAAGGAGTTAAAACAAACCAAAAACCTTGGAAATAAATATCTGGAACATGCTACACACATATCAGGTACAGGAAGTAGTTCGAAATGTAAACGGCTACTTAGTTGCATACACAGAACTGATAGCCTTCTTGGTCCGGCCCCCAAGATGGACACCATGACTATTACAGTCAGTAGCAATCAGATACATTTTTGCGCCGGCTTCCCTGCTGCCGACAATGAATATGTTACCTCCTATAACATAGGAGGTGGTACAACTATAGATGTTCCTTTGAACATTCAAGCATGTAAATTTGAGAATCAATGTCTTTATGCTATGGATGACTCAACTTGTGTTACCGTAAATTGTGGGTGGCAAAATTATCTACTGGTGGGATGCATAAACAGCTCAATCCATGCGGTTATTAACTCTGACAGATCGTTAACAAACATATTTTTCAATTCTTTGCACCACCCGCATACGTCCAAAGTCATCGGAGGTGACTTTAACACACCGAAGATCATGTAGAATTGGATTTCGGTACCAAGCCGATAAAACAAGTAAGTTGAAACAAGAGAACTTTGTGGATGGGCCCAACAAGTCCGAAAGCTGACTAGAAGGAATGATAAACTTTATCTAATGTTTACAATTAACACCGGCTCTATCTCAGTGAGTATCAATCATGACTTATTTATCAGTGATCATAAAGTTATATTGGTTATTATTCATTCTTCAAACGCCATACAATTAAACTCTAAAGCTTCAATGATGTACCAGAGCAGACATTTTGACCAACAAACCAGGAAATGGGCTGAAACTCCTATTCAGTGTTTACCATGTGAAACTTATTTTACCACAAAAGTTATATTGACATTGAGCTTTCCAATCTATATTACAACCTGATATATTGCCTTGATTGCACAGCTCCAATTATTGGCCATGTGGCTTGTATTGCTAATAAGGACCAGAATACTTTTAAAACTTTGTTGACGACCCTGATACACAATTCAGCTATCATTTCTTGCTATGATACAACACTGAAACTGAAACCTCTATCAATATATTTTCAATGTTGACATCAAGACGCCTATCCAAAATTGATTTCACACCCAACAACGTCAAACAGGTCATAGCTGCCCTGACAAAGTCTAATGATAATGGACCAGACGGGATTCCTTCATCGTTTGTGAAATATGGTAGTAGAGAATTCCAATTTTTTTATTTATAACTTTTCAACCTATCTATGGAATATGGGGCCCATCCATTTGTATGGAAAACATCTCTTATCACCCCCGGATTCAAAACGGGATCATGTAGTGATAGTACTAACTATAGGCACATTATTTTAACATCCGTGCTATTAAATCATCCACAAACAGCTATTATCATTTTTACTTTCAGCTAGTCTGATTAACCTATCCCAACACAGGTTTATGACTAAACTCTCATGCTTCACATTGCACCTGAAATATGTTGATCGAATTACCCGGGAATGAGATGTTGGTCAGTCAGTGATAATTCCTTACTTCGATTTTAGTAAGGCTTTCGACAGTGTCTCACACAAACTTCTTCCAAGTCTCTCTTCATTTGGCATACAGACTCCCATTTTATCTTGGCTCAAATCTTTTTTAGAAGAACGTAGTCAAATCAATCGCTTTGAATCTTGCTGCTCTAAACCTGCGAATGTAACCAGTGGGGTTATACGAGGAAGTGTGATTGGTCCATCACTCTTCTTCCTTACGAATTAGGATGTGTGATCACTCTTTTAACACGGTAAACCCTTCCTTTTTGCCAATGACTTGAGAGCGGTTTATTCCTTCTCTTCTCCTACCAAAGAAAGCTATATATCAGCGATAATCTAAGAAGAAATTAACAAGTTATACGAATGGACTGTCTTAGAACCTACCACTGAATGTTGACAAAAGTGGTTTATTCACGTTAGCCGCTGCCTTAACCTAAATCTGGTTACACAAATGTACACCTAAACCTCTCATCACTGTTCGTGACATGAATATGAGATATGGCACATTGCATCTGAAGTATCCGACGCTAGAAAGCCCCTTGGATCCATAATGATAAGCCCCAATAACATCGGATCGAGAATATTACTGTACAAAAAATGTTTATTGTCCATTCTTGAATGTAGTAATCTAGTTCACAGCAATTGCAAGCGTAATGAATTAATGAAAATTGAAAATTCAAAGGCGATTAACTAAGGCTGTGTTGAGATGTTCAGGCAACAAGGATTACGACCAAAGATTTCAACATCTCAAGTTAGAACCTATCTGAATCAGACGTGTTAAATTAAAATCTTCCAGCCTATTAACGGTATTTCCTATTCTTCGGTATCTACCCTTTCATACCCTATGATATCATCCCACAATCTACTCAATAAGGAAAACATCCTAGCGATTCCAAGAACCCACACAAATTTACGGCAGAATTTTTTCGTTATTTGCTACCCAACCATGTAGAACAGACTCCCAGTGAACCTCCCTTGCAGTGAAACTACAACCTGGTTCAGAAGTCTCCGTGATGATTTTCTTTCTGAAAGTGGATTGTGTCACCTATTGAATATCAATGTGTTTAATAATGATTTATACAAATAAGGTCCGTCACCCATCTAATTGACTGAAAAGCGAAATGTAACCTTTGAAGAATTTCACGTCTATTTTATTTCCTTTCTGTTCATAATGTGTGAAGTCTACTTATGTTCATATCTGTAATTATTACTATTATTAATATCATTATTGGCCCCTCGACACATTAGATATTCTTTTTATCTCTTCTTATCCTTCTAAACATATATTATTCCTTAACATCCAAAGTCTATAACTAAAAGCTGATTATCTCACGGTACACTTAAATAAATTAACTTCTCAGATTCATTTAATCTTCACCACGTATATACGACTCATACATATTGACATTAGATTATCCTTTCCGAATAATTGAAACTTTTATAGCATCATTCTGAACTATTTCTGCACAAACTCGCACTCTACCGTAAAATCCTACTGCGATAATGACATATTTCGCAGTTGGTTTATTTATTTTCCTTTTTTTCTTCCTTTTTTACTCATTTGGCAATACGCACATCGCCTCTTACTTTTAATCCGTTTTCACAAACACGTTTATTAAATTGCTTTCACATTTTACGTTTACGTCCTTCGTTTTTTCCCGTTTCCTTCTTTGGAGCCAACTGAATGTTCTCCTCAATTCCACAGAACCTGTCTAAACATGGGAAATATCATGCTAATATTATTGAGACTTGTGTATTACTGCATCTCTGAAGAAACAAAAAATATCTTATTTACAACAACTGTTTACCAATGAGCTGTTTGTGAATAATAATAATGAAAATATTTTCTCTTATCAACTCTTACCCACTCTTTCTTACTGTTAACAGATACTGGGGTACTAGCAATTCTTATTAAGTTCGTTTATATACGAGCTCATGTTGTGGCGCCGATC